GTCCAAAGTAATTTTGGTTTTGTCAAAAAGAAAGGAATTATTGAGGTTTGATTAAACCCAAAACAAGTTTTGCTAAAAAAAAAAAAAGGGTTAGTGACAGAGTTAAAAACATGTGAGACACGTGTCATTCACTGATTAGACAGTTTATAAAAAAAAAAATTACCCAAATATGCGCTAACACATGCACCTGTTTTTTTTCCCTCTATCCCCAACCCTGTCTGACTAACTTTTCCCACCCAAAATATGTTAAGACGAATTCCACGTACTGACACTTTCAACGCCTCACATTTTTTCTCTCCCCAATTTATCAGTCCTTAGCCTCTTATTTTTTCCCTATTGCTATTTTCAATCGAAGCAAAATACACATGTACATATGCACAAAACACAATTATTTGCAAAAGGAAAGGTATAGATATTTTTAAAAGTTTTGGACTATTATAAAGAGGTGTGAGCGATTTGAAATTTATTATTCAAGTACCTATATTTTTAAATTTAACGTGAGATGCTCGTTGCCATGAATGAATTTTTCACGTCTTTTCAAATTTGTCATTGTTTGTAAATTTTATCATTTCAATTCAAGGCTCCTTCAAGAAAATTCATCATGTAACAGTTGCAGGCTCACCTTCGGATTACAATTTAACATTCACGTTTTATAATAGAGCTTTTACTTGAATTATCATTTTTTATGACGTGACAATTTTTAGTTTATGTTGGTAAGAGAGTTTATGTATAAATGAACGTTAGGATTGACTTTGAAGTAAAAGGCATCTCATTGAGTATAATTCATTATACTTATCCCTCTTCATTTACAATATCAGGTGAAAATTAGTGTATTGGGCGATGGAGGATGGATAGATGTGACATTGATCCTCGTCACAAAGTACCTTAACTATTAGTAATATTAGAATTTCATTAAGTATATTTTAATTGTTGAACACATTATTTTCTTTTGTTGAGAATTAGGCTCTCTTTCGTGTAACTTTATGTTTTGAATTTTGGTCGGTGGATTTTGGCCAAAAAAAAGAGAGAATTATTGAGATCGAATTAGTCTTTAAATCTTAACTAAACCCCAAACATGTTAAAAGGAATCAAACGCATGCCCCCTCCACTGAAATACTTACATAATTTGTTTTCATTGACTTGCCTACATATTTGTCACATCATCTTTTTCTATGCTCTTATAAAAGAAGAAAGGGGAAAGGGTAATGAAACCCAGAACAAGTAAGCATGGAAGCATTAAGAATAGCCTTTATTTTCCTTCTTCATATTCTCCTTTTTAGTTCACTTCCATTTGCATTTAACATTTTATCATACAATAAAATAGAAGCAGAGGCTCTTGTAAGGTGGAAGAACACCTTATCATCTCATGATTCTCTTGATTCATGGGACCTCAATAATGTTAGGAATCTCTGTAGTTGGACAGGGGTTGTATGCAACACTGAGGGGTCGATTTCTAAAATAAAGTTATCGCGTGCAAACATTAATGGCACGTTTGACCAACTCAATTTTGCTTCATTTTCAAATCTCACAAGTCTCAACCTCAATAATAATCATTTCCATGGGTCGATACCATCTACTATAGGTAGTCTATCCAAGCTCACTTTCTTGTATCTGAGCTCCAATGAGTTGAGCGGCATCATTCCACCAGAGATTGGAAATCTGACAGAGCTTCAGTACATTAGTTTCTATTGGAACTATCTCCGTGGGCAAGTTCCTTATCAAATTAGCGATCTTCAAAATCTCTGGTATTTGGATTTTGGATCCAATTACATGACATCTCCTAAATGGTCAAAATTCCAGAGCTTTCCCTTATTGACACACCTCAACTTTTATGGAAATTCACTCACCTTGAGATTTCCGGATTTTATACTTACTTGTCATAACCTAACTTATCTTGATTTGTCATATAACTCCTTTACCGGTGAAATTCCAGAATCATTATTCGCCAATTTGGGCAAGCTTGAATATCTCAACCTTACTGGTAACTCATTTCAGGGTACCTTGCCATCGATTCTTACCAAGCTGATGAAATTGAAAGGTATTGGGCTAGCACGGAACAACTTCTCCGGGTCAATTCCTGATATTTTTGGCTTGATGCCAAATCTGGAATTCCTTGAACTAACGACATTTGAAGGAAATATCCCGTCTTCTTTAGGCAAACTCAGGAATCTTCAATATCTTTATCTCATAGTCAATAGCCCACTCAATTCCACAATTCCTTCGGAGCTTGGTCTCTGTACAAACCTTACCTTATTGGCTTTACGTGGGAATTCACTTATGGGATCCTTGCCTTTATCCTTGACCAACCTGACCAAGTTATCTTCTTTGTTTATCTTTGATAGTAATCTTTGTGATCACATCTTGCCTCACTTTATCACAAATTGGACCCAATTAACAAGATTGTATATTCGATACAATTCTTTCACCGGGGAAATCCCATCTGAAATTGGTTTGTTGACAAATCTCACTTCTCTTTATCTAAGGGGTAACAGATTTTCAGGCAATATCCCTCAAGCGATAGGAAGCTTGCAAAACTTGTCGGTACTTGACCTTTCAGCCAACTTATTTTCAGGTGAAATACCTCCAACAATATGGAATTTAACAGACCTTTTCTACCTGAATATTTCCTCAAACCAACTCATAGGTACGATTTCACCTGAGGTTGGAGATTTGAAGTCACTCGAGTCTTTGGATCTTAGTATGAATCAATTAACTGGGCAGTTGCCCAAAACCATCTCCAAACTCAGTAAAGGATTGCAAATTTTGAATTTGAAGAAGAATCACATTCATGGCAACATTCCGAAAATATTTACCAAGGGATGCGGACTACAACATTTTGACTTGAATGGAAATCAAATGAATGGAACATTACCACGCACATTGATCAATTGTAGGATGCTCGAAGAACTAGATATTGGAAACAATTACATAAGTGGCCCATTCCCCTTTTGGATGGAAACTCTTCCGATGCTTCGAATTCTTGAGTTGAAGTCCAACAAATTCCATGGTATAATACCTGCTTCAAAGGTGAAGCTTCCATTTCCTAATCTGCAAATTCTTGACGTGTCCTATAATGAATTTACTGGAGTTCTTCCAGTTGGATTTTTAGAGAATTTCAAAGCCATGATGAATGTGAGTGAAAATGAAATTGGCGACAAATACTTACACTATAGGGATCTATCGACTGTTTTGCTGAAGGGCTTCGAGTATGAGCTGTGGAGTATCCAAAGACCCTATACAAGCATCGATCTATCAAACAACAAATTCCAAGGGGATATTCCAAGTTCTATAGGAAATATCAAGGCCCTACACGCTCTAAACTTATCTAATAATAGTTTCACAGGTCATATCCCATCATTGGAAAATTTTACTTTACTTGAATCTTTGGACCTTCGTTCAAATCAATTGGTAGGGGAGATTCCTTGGAAATTGACAAAGTTGACATCTCTGTCATTCCTTAACCTTTCATACAATCATCTTGTTGGTCGCATACCTGAGCAAGGGCAGCTTCTTACATTTCCTGACAGTTCATATATTGGCAACCCAAAATTATGTGGATTGCCATTGACAACGATGTGTGGAAATGACGAACCACAAGTCCAACTGAAGCTTCCAGTGTTGACGACACAAGAAGATGATGACTTCAATATCTTTGATGGATTCACCTGGCAAGTCGTCCTGATGGGGTATGGATGTGGAATGTTATTTGGATTGGTTGCAGGATATTTTATTTTTAAATATGAAAAACCTGAATGGTTGATAGGATTTGTTTATCGAGTTTACAAAATAAAAGATGGTAGAAGGTGGAGGTAGATTTTTCATAGTTATTGGTTGAAGAAGAAATAAGTTCAATGTATAGTCTTCCTAAAATATGCATATCAGCATTTATTTAGTATTGCAATAGAAGGAGAAGAAAATAATTGTATTGTCACCCTTCGGACATAGCAAAGCCTTCATTTTCCTTCTTCCTATTCTTTTCTTTTTACTTTAATTGAACATTGTCAATGTAAGAAAACTTGAGCATATTTTTCTTATTCTGCCCAAATTATTTTTGTTTACAGATATGGAGATATTGCAATTAATAGTCAAATTTTCTTCACCATATTCAAGGGAACCAAGTCATTTGAATGAAACGTCTCATCCTCTGCCTTAGAACTTCCCAAGCCATCTTCCTCCTTCCCTCAGTTGATCAACTTCCCAAAACTGCAAAATCAGCAACCTAATCTCTCGGCAAATCAAAGTCCGCAGCGTGAATTAACAAATCATATATGTAGGGATTGCTTGCAAAACTGGCTTAATCACAATTTCCCATCCCCCAACTGAAAAAATAGATTCCCGCGCCACCCATTGACCCTCTTCCATATCCGCTCTTCATCCTGAAAAATGTTCGGCCGCTATTCGTGCCCACAGTTGCTTGAGTATTCCCAGATATACATCATAGGATTGTACAAAGGGAAGTCCAAGAAGCAGTTGGACAAGGACCCACTACTCACTATGCACATTCGGACTAGAAGTAACCAATGATTTATGTGATCCGAGAGCCCGAGGCCGACTCATAAAGTGATAATAGATGAAGTAACGTCTGGCAATCTGATAATTTAGCACGGATGAAAAATATGGAATCATCTGCAACCATCTCCAAACACTCAATATAGAATTAAAAACTACACGATAAGCCGACTCCTCAGCTGTTGGATATTAAGACCATATTATTGATGAATCCTAGATCACAAGTACAAAGCTAAACTCTCACAGAGATCATAATATTTGCCATGGAGCAAAAAGGTAGCTTCATTTTCAAACCAAAATTCCTCAGTATTCATATACACAGACAAATGTCAAAGGAATCCAAGTATATGACAGTTAAAAAGTAGAAACTTAAAGTTGCTTATAAGCTAAAAGTTGAAGAGAACACAAGTCAATGCCAATAAGAATTCATCCCAAGGACTACAGAGTTCTAGAGCTCCTTATCAATTCAGTCTTACGAGGATTTAGACAACCTAACCGTGCACTTTAGCACGCTTGGATGGTGACAATTTGGACATGCCAGCTACATTTGCTTCACAATTTCCAACAACTTCAGACTCGTGAGCTTTATGTTTCTCTCCCACATCCCGTGAATTTTCCTCTGCTGGTTCATTAGATGATTTTCCGTCTGTTTCGCCACTGTCGTCGACTGGTACTCCTGAATCATCTTTGAAGGGAGCATTTCCTACTGAATCCATGAACTCTTTTAAGGGGTTCTCAGTCGCAGATGAACTCCCTTTGAGCAAGTCCATGCCCGACTTGCACTGCTTCTCAAACATCATCTGAAGGTGACGCCCTTGTTCTTCTATTCGAAGCTGCAGATTTCTTTGAATCTGCAAAAGAATAATTAGAAAAATAATGTATGAAAGTAATAAGTAGAAACTGCTAGTCACACAGAATTTTAATCCCTATTTTTCCTTTGAATATGTAAATTAAAATGCCAGTTGTAAAATCTCGACTAAGCTGCAGCACTTTCACAAGGCTGCAGATTTGATACTAGGGAACTTATCAAACAAGACAGTAACCATGCCACCTGTAAAAGATCTGTCACTATGATACTATCCACGAAAACAAGATCCCTCAGCAAATTATCAAACATAGCAACAGTACAAGACTGCATTGGTATATATTTCTCTATTGCTGCAAGAAGCGTTAATAATCTGTTTATGTTATGTATCAAATATTAAATTTTGCATTAGTCACATACAACTTAGGAACCTGATATGTGGCTTAACCTATATTATATGCCACCTTCAAGTTAAAACCAATACGCCGTGTGAATTCATACCTCAAGCTGCTCATGAAGCCGCTTTTGGACTTCCATTTGCATTCTCAATGCTTCAGTGATCTCAATGCCCCTATTCGAAAACCAGAGGTGCGCACAATCAGCAACAGAACATATAGAATATAAAAAACTAGAAGAAAACTGAGCTCAGTTATAATTGTATCCATCCTTGCGACTTTTCTAAGATATTAAACTTTCAAAATTTGACAAGTTCCACCATTCTCATTGAAACCACAATATATTTGCTAGTTCCAGCTTGTCCACACACACAAGTCACTCAATAATCTTCGATCTGCTGACGTGTTTGTGAATATTATGCAACTTTAGCACAACAGACATCCATAGGTTGCTAACAAACTACTTTACCAAAATGTCTAATTCTGTTTCATAGTCATAGATCATTACCATCCTCCTTCAATTTCATTTAGAAATTGATGGTCTTCTAATCCTATTCTCTTGACAAATTCTAAGAGAGATTAATATCTACCAATCATCCATGGTATTCTACAAGAATAATGGGAGAAGAACACAAAGTGTAGTTGTCAAATTGTTTCATCACCGGTGGCACGAGGTAAGGCAAATAATCACGCAATATAAAGAAGAAACTGGCACATCTCCATTCACAAAATTAAAAGGAGCTGAGTGTAGAAAAGGAGGCTATCATCCTACATACACGTGCAAAGCCAGAAAATCAGAAGAGGAGGACAATTAAAAGGAACATATATAAACTAACAGTAACATTGAAAATATTAAATATCGTGCCCAGAGGTTTAGATACTAACGATTATCGGACTCCAAAAATTACATTAACTACAAGTCACGAACTTAAGTAAAAGAAGTAACTTACGTTTTCATGTCTAGAGATGACAGATCTTCAATAGAGGTCTGTTTTATTTCTGAAGATTCTGCAAACAAAAAAATAAGTTTCTCAAGTGGCCACAAAAATTACCCTACATATGTAGCATAACATATAGCATATTCGAAAAATCAATGACAATCATGAACCAGAGACATCATTGAAGAAGTTCTGTTCATGATTAAGCTAAGTGAAACAGTCTGAAATGATAGATTTGTTCATGGTGCAAGCAATGGATTTGAAGTTCAAGATTTACAAGGGAAAGAATTTTGAATTAAAATTGTGTTGCAAATATAATTTTTTTTAGTATTGTAGCAACATAAAAATATGAAGTCTTGTAATAGACTCAATTCTAACTTTAATATTTAAGTATTTGACATTCACTATCTAGTTTATTATATGACAATATATTTGTGTATGGGTGTCTCTGTGGGTATATGTATAGACAGATAAATTATAGATGTATCGAAATTTGTCATGATGACAATTCTAATAGATAGAACTACGAAAGGCATTTACAAAGAGTGGCATTAATTACTGTCAATAAGAATTATTAATTTCAGCACATAAGATGGAGTTGTTTCTGAATATTAGAGCACCGACTGCAATATGAAACTAAATAAATCAAAATATAAAAATTATTGCATATGCACACCTTCTGTTGTCTCTGGTTTGTATCTAGCTGTTCGGTATTTCTGCAGTTCAGGAAAAAGATTCCACATTGAGTAGACAGAGATATCCACCAATGCAGATTAAGAAAAAGGTCGTGACACAAGAATACAACAAACCTGTAGGTGGCTTTTTACGTGATAGATGGTCAAACCTTCAACTTTCATTAGCTTCAGGACACCCTTAGGAGTGGCTCCTGTGGTCAATAAAGGAATGAGTGATGTGAATGGCTGCATCAACTTTCATTAGCTTCAGGACACCCTTCGGAGCGGCTCCTGTGGGCAACAAAGGAATGAGTGACGTGAATGGCTGCTGGATATTTTATATAAAACGACTTTTAAGTGGTAAAGGAAGAGTTACTTTCACTTCCACCAAGCTTGTTGACTGCCTCCACAAAGGCTTCATGAAGTTCTGGAGTCCAACGCATTCGTTGCTTGGTTTGAGCACAATTAGCAGAAGATGATTGAGCAACAGCGGTGCAAGTTTCTCCAGGTGTAGCTGGGATCTGTTCATTGGGCTGCTGTATTGAGAAATTTGTCGACAGGTTGGACATATGATGATGTAGCTGCATTAACAGAACAAGGACCAAGAACCCGGTTAATTTTCATTTTCTCTATTGTACACCAAAATAATATGTAAGAAGGAACACTGCAGTGGATGCATAAAGAAAATACAATCAACCTTTGGTTCTGGATCTGCAATACTTGCATCAGCAAGAAGCTCATTCCAGTCAGAAGTCAAAGCACCATCATCAGTGAGAAGCTGGTTAGCCCATTCCTGCCAATCATCATGTTTAGTAAGTTCCTCAGATGGAATGGCAGTGCCGCTGCAGTGACTCCTTTCTAGTTGATTATTCTGGATAGAGGTACTTAAAGGATAATCAAGAAAATCAGGCAGTGAATCTGTACACCAAGAGGGGTTGTTATCTTCCTTGTCACAGTGACTTGATGCTGTGGATCGAGGGGCTTCAGAATCAACAGAATGAGGCAACATAAGTGATGTCTCACTGTTAGTTGAGTGAGATATGAGATGAGATTGTCTTGGATGGTTCTTTTGTTCCGGGTTAGATGAAAAAAAAAGATCGGTAGAATATCCCGAGGACGAAGAAAATAGATGGCCAACTACCCCATTGTTGGAAGACATTTGCGAAATGATAGCTGGAGAATGTTGCACGAGTTCCCTCTCCCTGGAATCCTGCTTGGAAACTGGTAGTTTAGGATATCTTTCTCCCAGAGGGGTTGGCAGAACAGGAAAAGAAGAAGACATAGTCCCAGAAACCCCAAAGTTACTAAGTTGTCTTGCACCTGATCTTTGAATAGATAAAGAAGGTTTTGCTTCCATTGTGGCTGTGTAGAAAAGGCAACTTCAGCTTACGTCATACAGAACTAGCTCAGTTTTTCTACTCACTGGAGGAACCTATACCACAAGAATATGAATGATGTATCAATGCTCAATTAATGAAACACACAGAAATAAATAACCAAGAACATTAATCTATTCCCAAGTTGCAGAAAAGAGCGTGATAAGTCGAGCAAGCAATTTCCTTCCTCGTGATGATGAAGAAATGAACTTGGATCCAATTCTTCTCATAGCTAGAACAAAATAACCGCATTATAAACCTATTGTTCATTGTAGCCAAATAAAATACAATCTCTAGGTACAAATTCATTTACTCATATGCACAACCTACATTAATATGAAAGGATTTAGTTTAGGCACTCCTCAGCTCTTAACACAAACTTGTCATGCTCTCTTTACGAGTATACTTCATGCTATAGTGCATGGAAAGCTAGAAGCTTTTCGACAGTCTTCAGAATTTCCAAATTCAGGACGATGGAAACATTGTTTTCCTATAGAGATGCTCAGTCTTGCCAGAAATTTTTAGGGATCATAGAGCTGAATGCAGCATGAGCTCAACTCGGTGTCTTGAGTACGAATGAAACATTGTGGCTTTTCACAAAGATAACAAATAGCAGAACTACGAACCATACTCTAGACTCGGCATGATTAGATTCATCTAAAAATTTAACCAGTCATCACTCCTGCATTATGTTCCTAAGGTCGTAATATAATAGTATGATAACAATATAAACCTGCATACACAATTTTACATGAAAAGTCTCATCATTAATTGTTAATCATTTGCCCTTGTAGACCTCAAGATTAGTAGCTTGTGAACTCGCCTAAAACAATTGTATGGATTTACAAGAGCCAGTGCATTTGAGGAAATATCATAGTGATGAGATTTAATTTCAGTTAAATAGAGCTCTCATGTTTTCTATAACTTACATTAGGATAATCTGCATAAAGCTCTCGTCTTTACTCAAAAATTCCAACCTCCTATGATCATATCATTCCTACAGACCAGAAAGCGAAATTAATTATACAAAACCTTGAATAATTTAAATTATAGGCAGACAACAAACAAAAAGAAAAAAGGAAAAAAATTATAATTCAATCTTGACTTTATAAATATAAAACCCTTTAACTTAAAGAATCCAATCAATATTTAATCACCCCTTCAAAAGATAATAAAAATCGACATGGGTTGTCGTTGAAAAAATAAAATCTACCAATTACAATGACAGAAAATGAAATTTTGCATACATATCAAAAGGGTATCGAAATTCTTACCTAAAATCGCAAATAAATAAATAATCAGCAAATGAGGTTTGAACAGCTCCTAATCGAATTCTTGTGCGATTAAAAATCTACGACACACGCCCATAATAGCTGGTCATAGATACGTATATGCATTAGTGTGTGTTAATTCTAACTGGTTTATGGGGATTCCGTCACCGGCGAGTGCCCAAAAGAATTGAGCTGCCGTTCTTCGCCTCTTCTAGCGTTTGCGTTTGGCTTTTGTGAGATTTATACTCCCGGCTAACTCTCAGCACGCGCGTCAGTTGGCTCGTGTAAGATACTTGTCACTTTGAGTGGATTAAAACTAATTCGGCTAAAGAGCAATGTTATTTATTAAAATAATTTGACACCTCCTCACATTGGAGTGGGGTCCGCAATAAAAATTGCAGTCTATTATGATAATAGACATTGGTGATATAGTAATTTATTAGAGTAATGTTGTTCATAGTCGCTCACTGCAGCAGTCGTCATATGTGGCACGCATATGACATGTAGTTATTTGATACATTAATGTGGTAATTTTTTTATCACATTAATGCATTAAATGCACATTTGATATGTGTGTGTCACATAGGGTGACTGCTGCAGTGAGCGACTGCAAATAGCATTATTCAATTTATTATCTCTCATATATTTTTTTTCTCCTCCTCTTCTCCTTAATAAAAATTGATCCAATTTCATTATTCTATGTAGACTGTTACATCACTGATGTTCTATCATCGTAATGATAAATAGCATTATTATTTGCTAAATATTAAATACAACTCTTAATTTATTAAGAAGCAATTCAATTCTTCAAATTAAAAGATTATTTTTACAATAATAAAATAAAATGATATACTCGAAATATGTCTATTTTTTTATACTTTGAGTTCTTTAACATTTATTTAAGATTTTAACTTTGAAAGATTTTTTTAAGAAATGAATATTTGTGGAAAATGAGAAGTAGTGGGAATTTTTATGTATTGTTTTTTTAATTAATTTATATTGAATAAAATAAAATTGATAGTAGAAGTAATTCTATTTTGTTAAAAAATAATTTTACTTCTATTTTTTAGAAAATAATTTTAATAAGTTCTCTATGTTATTTCATAACTATTAATTTAGTACTTGTTTGACCCTCATTAAATTAAAATTCATTTTCCTCAGTTCTTAACAACTATACATTCTCTAATAAAATAATATTACACACAAATCTAAAAATATAAATTTCCTTTTAACTGCACATTTTTCAAAAAATTACTATTACTCTCATTATAATTCAAAATAATGGAGCCCACACAAGGGCTTAATTTACTTGAAAGTAAAGTAATTTTATTCATAGAAATGAGAGTTGAGTTGGACCTTCAACTGCTTGATAAAATCGATACGTCACTAAGAATAAAGTAAAGAATAATAATCAAGAAATTAAATATGTATAATTGAACAAATTGAGAATGAAATTGTAAAGTAAAAATATAAAATCTATTTAAAAATACAAATAAAAAAATGAAGGGTAGTGAGTGTCATGTGTATGGGTTCCACTTGATTGTGGGGGTGACAATACACTCCAAGAATTTTTATTTTTTATTTTTTAACATTATATATAGATTATGCTCCTTCAGTTGGCCAAAGGGACAAATGGGACGCCACCGGGACAGGAAAAATCGATTGGACACGTGTCGTTCTGTTAATGGGTTGTTATTTCACAAAAATATAAGAATAAGTTATCCTAGATAATGCCATTTTAGGTGATTAGTTAGTGGAACTTAATTAATTAATTGTCTGGGAATTTCCTAGATGAAAAATCAAAATTTAAATTTAAAATGAAAATAATGCAAGGTGGGAAGAAAAATTAGGAGTCTTCTCATTTAATTGTATTCAAGTGGAATAATGATAAAAAGGAAAGGGAGAAAAGAATTTACATAAAAGAGATTCATGGAAAATAAATTCAACTCACAATAAAAAAAACACTCATTTTCATATGCACAAGGGAGGAAAAGGATATTATAATTCTTGCCCCCAAAAAGCTTCCGGGACAAGGAGGTGGCGCTCAGCACACTTCGTATATATAAATGAGGAGACCCTTCGTGTATATCACTCAACACATTGTTTTAAAAATACAATCGACACATGGACAATAATAATTCACCCTAATTAATTTGCTCATTTAATTGTATTAAGGTGAAATAATGATAAAAAGGAAAGGGAGAAAAGAATTTACAAAAAAAGAGAATCCTGAAAATGAATTCAACTCATAATAAAAAAACACTCATTTTCATATGCATAAGGGGAGAAAATGATATTATAATTCTTGCCCCCGAAAAGCCTCCGAGACAAGGAGGCAGCGCTCAACATCTACTCTCGAAATTCATTAATTACCAAAAAAATATTTGGCCATGAAAAAATAACGATATATGGCCAGGACTTTGCTTTCATAAAAAGTGGACACTTCCAAACTCAACCAGTACTAATGAAAATTGACGAATACTTTTGGGTCTGTTTGATTGAAAATGTGGAAAATAGGTGGAAAGAAAATGATTTTCAGGGAAAATAATTGCCTAAAAATTGTATTGCAGTGAATTGTTAATTAAGCGTGTTTGATTGGTTATAATATTCCACCCGAAAAATTTTAAAATTTTCTATTCATTTGACTTTATTTTACATGGAAATTATCCATTAAAGTGATAATTTTTTCAACAATTGGTTATAAAATTTGTTTCCGTTATCAAAAAGTTTAAAAAAAAAAAATTGCTTCCTAAAAAATTATTTTTTTAATCAAAGTTTAGTGTTCGCTTGACTTTGTTTTACATGAAAATTGTCCATTAAAGTAAAAAAAAAATTTACAATTGGTTATGAAATTTGTTTCCATTATCAAAAAAAAAAAAAAAAAAATTCAGACACCTGGAATTCAATTTTCCCACCAAAAAGGTGGGAAAATATTTTCATCAATTGCATGAAAAAAGAAGGACGTGGGTTCAAACATGGAAAACATTTGGGTGGCAAAATTTTGTCAATCAAACACCTTGATTTGTGGAAAATGGAACCATTTTCCATGGAATTCAATGCCAATCAAACAAGGCATTATTGAAAAAAACTCTCTCTAATATTATTTCAGAATTTTTTCTCGAACCATAAATCTTGAATATATTTATCTTGAATAGAAGGGACTACGTAAAATCAGACCGACTATCGACTAAAGCTTTTATCGTTTTGGATGCAAGTTGCGAATGTAGAAGACCTCTTCCATGTTCAAAATGCCATAATCAAACTACCGTGATGGTTAAATATTTATTAATATAAAAATGAAAATAAAATACACATTTCGGAGGGAGTGTACCACCTGACTATCGGCCAACGAAATATAGTTCAAAAAAGCATAACGAGTCTAGGAAACTAGGAGCTAAAGAGTGAAAAAATATCAACTTTATATCTCATTAGCGTTTTTCCTTCTTCGTGTTAACGCACACCTTGTGTCACTATAAATTTTTGTATAAGCACTTGTATTCACACATTAGTATTCAAAAGATTATTTTTTTGATGTAACCCCCGTTTGGCCCTCATTATTTGATATTATAATATTTGAAATAGTATTTTTTTGGAGAATGTGTGGTTGAAAATGAAGGAAAAATTTTTAATTTATGTGTAATATTATTTTATTGAAAAATTTGTGGTTAAAAAGAAGAGAGAAAAATGTATTATAAATTAATGGGGGCCAA